TGGTGCACACTATTACAGATGCATCTCTACATACAGGACATGTGGAAGGTAATCTGGCACTCTGGCAGAAAGCAATTGAAAGTATACTTTGTTGGGTTGTATAAGGCTATATAGACAGAAGGCTACAAAAACATCCTATAATTCTAATTTTCATTTAATTTAAAGAAGTGTCACTTTTCTACCCACCATAAATGCCTTTTGTGAAATAAACAATTCAGGGCATATTTATATACTGTGGTAGGCCTATTTAGCTTTTTCTCAAAGCACATACTTTATTCCTCCAGCCCATCTATAATCATTTGACGACGAAGTCTTAGATAAAGGTCAGTAAATATGATAAATAGCTTATATAAATTAAAGCAACATGTAACCTAACTTTACAGTATTGTTTGCTTCCTTTCCAGTGCACTTGCAAAGAACCTTAGACATGTTGGGGGAGTTTGCAGGAAAAAAGATTGAGAACCACTGCTTTAATATGTTATCATCAGGAAATATACATTCTGTAAGTGTTGTGTTTCTTCAAAAGACTAAAAAGAGAGTTTATAAAACCTCTTAAGAACCATACAGGAGCTGAGCTGGTTCTTTACATGGTAGAGGTGCTACATTGCTCCTCAACCACCCCAAAGAACCGCTGAAGAACAAAACTTTTTGCATGTGGTTAAGTTATAAAAGGTGTGAATGGAAAATGTAGCGAAATTAAGAGTAGGCGTACATTAGATGTAGCCACCCCAGCCGCAGACACGTCACTGCTGCCTAAACCTCACCACAAATCCAAAAGTTAATTTCAGCGCCTCTGATAAAGTGCAGCTCACAGCTTCAGGTGGAGCAGAGAGGACAGACACAGAGCTACAGCTGGATCATCTTATTCTCCGCTAATGTGCAGGAGAATAAATATAACAAAATTCTCTCGCTCGCTCCCGCTGGCGAGCACGCAGATCCTCCCCATTCTATCAGTCGCACCCTCGGGGGTTGGAATAACACTGCACTGAGTAAGAGGATCGGACCGGGACACCTAAAATCACCACCCCCTCTATCGATGACGAGCATTGAGGGGCACAAGGGCGGAACTCTGGATATTGGAAGGCACGCGTTAAATCTCCATTAGTGGCATTACAGTGAAGCTAAAGTCATGTTTAATGTTAAAATGGCTTCGACAACTAACTTCATGAAGTTTCTTCCTCTTGTGTGCCTCCTCGCTCGGTCTGGACAAACGTTTGGGGATGAACAAGGTAAGAAAACTTCTTAAACACCTTCTGCGCTGTGTCTTCTATGGCAGTCGCTCCCAGGTCACAGCATTGCAGTAGGTCTATTATCGGCTCCAGCTCCCATCTGCAGTGCCGGGGGAGATTAAAGCTGTAACGTTACTCATTTCACATTGATAGCGTTTGCCTTTTCTCTTTTTGGTCAGTTTCATCGCCACGAGCACAAACCTGAAAACTCTGTTGGTAAACATGGCGGTCGGGACGGTGTTACTTTGTGTAGCCTAACTTATCCCATAGACAGTAAGCCTATGAGGTTAACAGCAGCTTACAGTTGTAGTGTAGCCACAGAGTTTCTGTATAACAGCACCGTGCAGGGAAGGTGACAGAAGTGGTTAATATGCTCTGAGGGACGTTACAGCGCAGAAGTCGCGACAGCAGATGCACGTTAGACTAAGAAACTTACGGGAATCAATGACAGGTAGACGGAGGGTGTGTCTCAGGTATATCATCCACGCACTGCGTAAACCCGTTTCCATGACAACACCGGCTGTGTTTACGTTGCTCTTGTTAAATTTATGAAGAAGAGAAAGGTTTATCGCTAGTCACATGACTGTTACTCGGAAGTACTGAGAGTAGCGCCAGAGAAGGCGAACTTTTAAGCTCCCGTCTGTTATTCTACAGCTGGTCTACAAGGCGAACACGGTAATAATTATTAAGTTGCCCACTTCAGCCACTTCAATGCTTTCGTAATGAAGGTCTATCTGAAGGGCTGTCTGGTTTACATGTACTACATGTGTTTCGCCTGCTCCATAGATGATCTGCAGCTACTGTGTGAGCTGGAAAACACATGTAGCTGCAATACGGTCATTCTCTGGACACTTATGGATACTGTTGATTATTAACTTCTGAAGTAACTGTTAGCAGCTATCAGTCTTCTTTTTGAGGATTTTTGCATTTTTCTAACTTGTGATATTAAAGTTAATATTACACACTAAAATCGGAAAATGTTGCATATTGTAAGATTTTGTCAGTGCTGAGCTACCAGTAAATATTATTAGAATACATCCAAATTTTGTCAGTTTAGTTCTTGTCACATTATTAACACATTTAGGGGGTGGGAAGATTAAACTTTATTTTTGAGTGGCACCCCTGAGGCTACCCCCCTTTAGACCGTCAGACACAGAGCCCGCCTGGGACTGTAGCCAATGAGAGGCTGTGCAAGGATGCCCCTGAGACAGTACAGCACATAACAGCAGGGTGTAAGATGCAGGCAGGAAGTGCGTACTTGCAACGCCATAACCAGGTAGCTGGCATAGTGTACAGGAACATCTGCCATGAGTATGGGCTGGAAGTCAAGGTCAAAATGGAAGACACCTCCTAAAGTAGTTGAGAATGACCGAGCTAAGATCCTGTGGGACTTCAAAATCCAGACTGACAAACTGGTGATGGCTAACCAACCACACATCGTGTTGATCGACAAACAGCAGAAGAAGGAGCAGTGACAGATGTGGCGATCCCAAGAGACAGCAACATCAAGAAGAAGGAACACGAGAAGCTTGAGAAATACCAAGGGCTGAAAGAGGAGCTAGAAAAGATGTAGAAAGTAAGAGCAACAGTGGTGCCAGTGGTGATCGGAGCGCTGGGGGCCGTGACCCCCAAACTGGGAGAGTGGCTACAGCAGATTCCAGGTAAAACATCAGAGGTCTCTGTCCAGAAGAGTGCAGCCCAAGGAACAGCTAAGATACTGAGCAGAACCCTCAAACTGCCAGGCCTCTGGTAGAGGACCCGAGCTTGAGGAGTTATTTATTTAGTTTTATATTATTTACTGAATATTACTAAACCACATACATGTAAGGAGGAAAACATGAGGAAAACCTTTAAAAAGTTGAAACTCACTGCGCAGAAGAGCTGCCAGCAATAAAGCAAGCCTTGCTGGACCTCGGCTAGTAGTCTAAGTGGTCCACGCGCATTAACAAAGTCAGCAGCGCTGTGGCCATGATGGTCAGGTGAACACCGTGCCTTTGCAAAGATGAAACATTCAAATAACAGGGATAGAGGAGGTGGTCAGTGCTTTAAGGGACTCAGTTAGAAATTAAGGAGGCCACATGCCATAGTCTTATTTGCTTTTTATCTTTTGTGTTTTGTTGTTCCACTGCCCAGATGTAAGCATACTGCCTCAAAGGCTTAATGGATTTCACAAGATGACGTTCTCAGTGTTTGCACTGATTAAAATAAAATAAAAATTAAAGAATTATGTTTTTGCCGGTCTTAAGGACCTCGTAAAATGTCAGTATTCTTCAGCCAAAGATTGTACATTTAATGCCATTGAAATAATGTATTTGCTATATGTTGAATAAATTCTGTTTCAGTCTTATACAGCATCTCACCTCTCTCACCTCCTAAAACAGTGCGCACACTGTAGGCTATACAGCACTGTGGTAAATTAGTCTTTAGACCAAATAGTTTACATTATGAAATTTCTGATTTGAGTATATTGTCAGAACTGCAAAGAATTAGAAAAGAAGGACATGCAGGTTTAACTCTGAGCTGAACAAAACAAATGTCTCTATTTTTAAATTGTCTTTTTATTGCCACATGATTTTACTTTTTTTTCAAATAGGTATGTGTGGTTGTGAAATAATATAACAAGCATTAAATACATCTGTATAAATAACCTGGATAATTGTTGGCATATAAATAACAACAGTTAACATAACAAGCGGGAAGCTTCCGGTCTACAATATGAAGCCTATGCGGAAGTCCCTGAAACCTGCATTCTGTTGAAAATCCAACAGGGGGCGACTCTTCTGGTTGCAAAAAGAAGTCCTGCTCCATTAGAAATAATGTGAAAATGTTTTTACTTCTCAGCTGAATTATTACCTCCGTAAACACTTTCCTGATGAGTTTATGGTCTCAGTCGCTAGTTTCAAGTCTTCTTCAAGACAACATGATGTTCATTTAGTAAATTATGGTCCCATTTATTTTAAAATGGACCACAAAGCAGAGTATGCTTCAGGGCGGGATTATCTATGATTGACAGGCCATTACCATAGCGACCTGTCAATCAGGCTGGAGCCGACTTTTCACATCGGCGCCGCCAAGTAGCGCTACAGACCGTACAGGAGCGAACTGATGCCCTGATCCAGGTCTGGGAGGAGGACGCCCAGGACACCATCCGCTGTCTCATCAGGAGCATGTCCAGATGTTGTCAGGAGTGCATACAGGCACACAGGGTCCAAACACACATTTGCTGTGATGAAAGTTACGCAAGTTGGGTCAGCATGTGATTAAAATGTTTTACTTAGTTTTTCTGTGTGATTTTGAATCCAGCCCTCAGTCAGCTTGTGTTTTTCGTTTCCAATGACCTTTATTATATAATTTTGTTTTTAATGAATGTGCAGTAAAGATTATTTGAGCGTTCCATTATTGAGTAGTTATGATCTTTAGATACTTGGTTCATACTGAGCCCTCAGTCTGAAACCAAAACAACTCTAATAAAGTGTCTGTGTCATGTGACATGTTTCTTATGTCACTTAAATATTCTTAAATGACGCCAACATGAAAAATCTCCATAAATAATGTGCCGACTAACTAACGTGTTTATAAACTGGTGTTTCAGAGTCATTGAGGTGACATGTAAATGTGTTATCTGATGAACAGAATGACTAAAATAATCTTTTCTTTCAGGTCGGGTGACGTCAGAGTGGTTGTGAAAGAAGGGAGTGACGCAATTTTACCCTGTTCCTCAGCAACAAGCAGAACGTGGAGTCAAAAGTCTTTGACTGGAAGAAAGATGGTCCGAAGGAGTTTTCTTTTATGATAGAGGCTCTAACTACAACAACGGCCGTCCAGGTCAAGATCATCAGTTCAAAGGTCGGGTCGCACATTTTCAAGATGAGCTGAAGTACGGCAACGCCTCCATCATCATCAGAAATACGAAGGTGACCGACAGTGGAGACTACACCTGTGATTTTCCAGCTTGAGCCAAGACAGATATTCCACATTCATCTTATTGTTGTTGGTGAGTGTTTTCATTAAACAGTTAATTGATATATTGTTCATCAAGATCTCCAGCTGTCCTTTCAGGTTTGGTTTGACTCCAGCTGTTCTTACTTGTCTGTTTAGTCTTCTGTTACAACACCTTGAAAGTATGACTTTAATTACATATCAGCAATTTGACAATGTGAGAATCACATACAGGTGTTATACTGGTCAATCATGAATTGTTAAATTGAATGAAAATCTCAATATCTGAACTTAACCAAGATGTTGATAAAAGATATAGACTTTGCTTGTGCAGACCACCCAGGTATATTAACAGGTGCAAATAGTCTGTCTGCAAATAAGTCTGGCATCAGGCCAAATTTTTTTCCTGCCGTTACATGGCGGACCAGAACAAACTCTAATTATTTCAGACCCTTGGATGCTTGTGTGCATGTTTAGATTAGTCTGTAGAGTTCGAGACTCCCGTTGGGAGAGTTGTATGATCGATCCCAACATCCTGCAGACATTTTTAAACAAATTGATTATAAGGACACTTTTGCACATGCTCACTGTGCTGCAGTGTGTGCGCGTCCCGACATTTGATCCGCATTCATAAACCTATGGACGCTTATTTTCATTTTCCTGAGAAAATTCAGGGAATCCAATCACGTTTACTGACGGAGGTGTGGCAAGCAGGCCAGAGTCTCGTCTGAATACACTTCAGAACTTTTCAAAGTAAAAGCTCTCAATAAACTCGACATAAAGCATTGCTGCAAAAAAAAAACATTCTCGCACTCTTATTTTGGAGGCACCATCACTTAAGAGGAAGTGAATATGTGAGTAACTGTTGCTGTCGTGACTGAGATCTATTTCAGCACCAGTCACTATCAATTTATTTTAATTTTTTTCTGCTGTCAAAGCATCTGGCCATGGGCCAGATAATATTGCTGGCGGACCGGTTCTGGCTGCTATTGACAACCGCTGCAATAGAAGATGCGGACATGGTGTATATTTTAAAGCACAGACCAGGTAAAGCAACAGTGAACGCACCTGTTGGTGCTGATGTCATTCGGTACCACCATGGTTTTGATAGGTGAAGTCTCCTCCACATGCGCCTCACCAGATGCTGTGAAATCACACACATGCAGGTGTGTTTGTACACTTGGAGAGCGACATGAATTGTTTACACCTGCTTAACGCCAGGCTTTTTAAAAGCCATGTTTCGATTGTTTGACTGGTTTCCACCGTGGTCTAGAGACCTGCGAAGATTAGAGAAATTAACCAGCTGACATAGGCCTATACACCGTACACGATGCACAGGCATCATTATTTGTAACCACTATCTACTATCGCTACTGCTATATAATAACATAGAAAATATGGTCCCTGCGGGGGAAACGCAGTGAGTTCCTCCAAAGGTTCCTAGTTCCGGGGTATAGTTCCTTTGGTCGAAATGCAGCTAAAGTCTGACCCTGTAGCTCCCGCCGTTTCGGCCTGTGATGCTCTTGGTATGCACCTGGTATGACCTGACATCTTTTTCTCCTTTCCCTCCTCTTCCTGCTTTACCTCTACTACAACCACTGACATGTAAGTTCTCCTGATTGGATTGGGCACATTAGCGACCTGCAGCAGTGGCTGTTTTTTAGTTTGCATCGTGTTTGATTAGTTAATTTATCATTTTGCTTTTAAATTTCTTTTTTTTTTCTGCCTTTTTTTTATCATCATGGTCGACCTGCATCATTGTTCAGTAACAGAGTGGACTGCTGGTGTTGTTGTGGTCGATGCATCACCTGACAGATTATCAATCTAACAAGATCCATACACCAGAATCTTTCTGCTAAAACTTAACAACACCATGAGCAGAAAATGATCTCTTGACAAATCCTGTCAACACTAAATCATACAAGTACTATAATTGATAATAAGCTGAGCTTTGATTGAAATGGCTACTCAACAGAAAAGTCTGTCTGATTTATTTAACAAACTGTTGTTAAAGAAAGCAGAATGCATCCTGTCCCTGCCTTCAGTTTCCTACTACAAAACACACACAAACACAAACACTCCTTCATCCCCTTTGTCATTTCACTGCTAAACAGTACTGAAAAATATCAGCTAGACCAACCACGCTGGTAAATATTACCTTTATCTTAGTGGTACTAAAACATGGAGTACTTATGTATTCTGTATTTTTACATCTCCTTTTGATATTTGTGGAATATTGTGTGTGTTGTGGTATCTGTGTGTTCTTACTGTTTCTGTTTTTTACTGCCACAAAACTAATTGTAACTTATTAAGTTACTGGACAATGATATAAATGGAAGCTTTTATTGGACTTTACTATTTGTAACCCACAGACGACGCATTTTTCAGGCTCATTTTTATTTACTTTTAAATGTAAAGGAAATGCAGTGATAAAGTATTCAATAGTAAACTAAATATACTGTATATGCTGGGAAAATGGAAGGACTCATTACATCATTTCCGTAATCACATAACAAAAACATTTACATTTACTTGACGGTGTTGTCCAAAGCGTCGTACAGTTGCTGTGCGTGTCAGAGGTCGCACACTGCAGGGGCACAGGGAGAACCCGGGTCTGTGTGTCTTATCCACTGCACCATCACCAGTGACCTTATGGTTTACTGTCACTAGGATAATGATCATTATGCCTCAACTACTTCTGATTCCATCACTGTTGAACCTGAACAAGCGTTAGGTTAAATAAAGATTTTCCACTTTCACCTGCTGATGGAAACCACAGTCCTTCTCCTTGTTGCCTCCTACTGATGAGGAAGACAATAGTTGGTGGTAATCTGTCAACTGTCGGTCACCTGCCTTTACATGAACATGAAGGTTAATAACATCCCATTCTTAATCCGTAGGGATTAATATGGAGCTGGTCCACCCTCTGCAGCTATAACATCTTCAGCTCTTCTGGGAAGGCTGTCCACAAGGTTTAGGAGTGTGTTCATGGGAATTTCTGACCATTCTTCTAGAAGCTCATTTGTAAGGTTAGGCACAGATGTTGAACGAGGAGGCCTGGCTCGCAGTCTGCGTTCTCATTCATCAACCTATTGCCCAGGTAGCAACCTATCACGGTACCACACTTGATTTCACTGATCACAAATGTTTGTAGAAGCAGTCTGGAAGCCCAGGTGCTTGATTTTATACACCTGTGGCTGAGAAAGTGATTGGAACACATGAATTCAATGATTCGGAGGGGCGTCATAAAACTTTTGGCAATATAGAGTATCTTTACATATCAGTATCAAATGTCTTGTCCACAAATATGCAAAAAACATTTCACATGTAAAAAATACTGTGTGGATAGGATTTTACACAACACAAATGTAAAAATAGTTATTAGTGGACAGTGAAATATTTGTGGATCATAGTACACATTTGTGGATTTTCTTCTCTGGGTTGCAAATAAAGTCCAATTAAAAACTCCATTTTAGATGTTCACTAATGACTCCGTTGCTATACTAATAACACATGACTAGTTCATAACACTGTGCAGTAATTAATGTTCTCATTTGTCTTTTAGACTTCGCCTTTAAAGACAGGAGAGCAGAAATTAGAGGTGAGTGATGATGTCACTAATACACTATACTATAGTTTTAGTACACCCCTCCGAATCATTGAATTTAGGTCTTCTAATCACTTTCATGAGCCACAGGTGTATAAAATCAAGCACCTAGGCTTGCAGACTGCTTCTACAAACATTAGTGAAAGAATGGGTCGCTCTCAGGAGCTCAGTGAATTCAAGCGTGGTACCGTGATAGGTTGCTACCCATTCATGAAATCTCCTACTAAATATTCTACGGTCAACTGTTAGTGGTATTATAACAAAGTGTAACTCAGCCACAGAGTTGCAGGCCACATAAAATCAGAGAGATCAGCGCATGCTGAGGCGCACAATGCGCAGAAGCTGCCAACTTTCTGCAGAGTCAATAGCTACAGACCTCCAAACGTCACTTGGCCTTCAGATTAGCTCAAGAACAGTGCGTAGAGAGCTTCATGGAATAGGTTTCCACGGCCGAGCAGCTGCATCCAAGCCTTACATCACCAAGTGCAATGCAAAGTGTCGGATGCAGTGGTGTAAAGCATGTCGCCACTGTACACTAGTGCGGTGGAGACGTGTTCTCTGGAGTGATGAATCACGCTTCTCTGTGTGGCAATTTGATGGACGAGTCTGGGTTTGGCTGTTGCCAGGGGAACAGTACTTGCCTGACTGCATTGTGCCAAGTGTAAAGTTGGTGGAGGGGGCATCATGGTGTGGGGGTGTTTTTCAGGGGTTGGGCTCGGCCCCTTAGTTCCAGTGACAGGAACTGTTGATGCTTCAGCACACCAAGACATCTTGGACAATTTCATGTCCCCAACTTGGTGGAAACAGTTTGGGGACGGCCCCTTCCTGTTCCAACATGATTATGCACCAGTGCACAAAGCGAGGTCCATAAAGACCTGAAGGAGCGAGTTTGGTGTAGAGAACCTCAGTGAAACCTCAGTTCATCTTGTGAAACTGTCTGGAGTAAAGCAGATCTGATCATCTATAATCTCACTCTACAGTTACACTGATAACTGAAAGATGATTTTCTAATAATTAAAATATTCTTTTCTGTGGTTATATGAAATTAGTAACACAAGATATTTCTCAGTGACAACATGTACACACTTTGGGTTGTACTTTTGTGTTTTATGTTTGAATGTAGCTTGATTAATTCTAAATGTACACCTATACTATCTATTGTAATTCAATACTGCAGCTCTGCTATAAATTCTGCCTCTACGAAGTTTATAATGTTCAGTTTTTGTTGACTGTAGTGGCCCTTGGCATCAATAAATGTGAAATATCTTTGTTATTCCATCCCGCACCGTGAAACTAAAAACAAACAAAGCCACAATAAACCTTAAAATATACACATTAACAACAACACGTCAACATTACACATCACATAATCAATTTTCCACAACATCAACAACAAATCTAAATACACACGTACCTCGCTCCGCTTACCAAGGGTACAAAAATTCAACAGAGGGTTGGGATACGTCATCTAATCCTCACCACAGATTTCATGTGACGTCATTTCAAGATCATTTTTTTCAGCTCAACAAATGTAAAAATTGAGTTTGTCCAAACGTCTGAGCTTCTGTCATGATATGAGTCAGGAACAGTGTTTGCAGCTGTAAATAGTTTCCAGACTTTTGGTAGAAGTTAGAAATGTTTGAAATATCATGTCCTATCTAACAATGCTGGGAGGAGCAACTGAGGCTGATACTGTGCTTTTCTGTTCCTCTGTGTTTTCTGTTAAACACACTTTAATCCTCATTTACAAGCAGAGAAGAGCCGAACAAGAAACATCACAGTGTTACATTTATAATCCTGTTATTGTCCTTTTATAGCTGATGTGTCACTTATTTTCATTTAAACTCTGTTCACAGGTGCAGCTCAAAAGCCGTCTGTTAGTGCACTCGGTCAAACAGCTGATGGGGCCCTGCTGCAGTGTGAAGTTCTTGGTGCTTCTTCAAAACCTACAGTAGAGTGGCAGGACAGTGCTGGAAACAAACTTCCTGCTGAGGAGCCACAGGTCTCAGAAAGAGGAGGCAGCTTCTACATCACCCTCCAAACTACTGTGATGAAGACCGACCGCTATCGCTGTGTAGCCACACAGGAGGAGATCAAACATCAGATTTATACTGAGACCTACGTGTTTATCTGTGGTGAGATTCTTCCTGGTTGTGTTTTTAACATGTCATTCATTTTAATAGTTGTGTTATTAGTATTTAAGCGTCTTCAGACTGAACACAAAGCAGGTTGTGATGAAGACGTCTGCAGAAGTGTAAAAAGTTTCAAACTGAGTGAAAGCTTCACTCTTATACTGAGACTCTGAGACTTCATGAATCTACAGAGATGAGAGGAAGAATGAGAGGGTCTGCAGGGAAATAACAGAAAGAAACTCTGAGATCAGTCTGATCAAACACAGGAACACAAGAATTTAGTAAACTACACTCACAAACCCAGTAACAGATTTATAAATGGCTGCTGCAGCCTGATCCTGAGGATCGACATAAATCTTTTTGTGCAACAAGTGAAAAACAGTTCTGAACTGTAAGAATTATTCAGCCACATTAAGGTTTTGTTAGCTGTAATTAAATAAATAGATTAGATAGAGAAACTTTATTGATTGCAGAGTTACAGCAGCAAAGTCACACAAATGATTCACATAACAAACAACACGAAGACACTCAGAGATGTAGAGGAGATTTCAGTCATTGATGATTTTTATCTAGAAACTGAATTAAAGTAAAAACAGGATCAGACTTTAACTCTAAATATAAACAGGGATAGTTCCTGGTAATAATTTGATACCATGGAGGCAGATACAGGCTTTGAAGCGCAGTTTTTACTAGACGATGCAAAATTACAACGATCAGCCAAAACATTATGACCACTGACAGGTGAAGTGAATAACGCTGATTAACTTGTTACCATGGCAACAGTCAGTGGGTGGGATATATCAGGCAGCTAAACTTCTGGGTCAGATCATCTCTGAAACGGTCTGCAGAGGTCAGTACCTATCAGAAGGGGTGCAGGGAAGGAAAAGCTGTGAACTGGAAACAGGGTCCTGGATGGCCAAGGCTCACTGATGCACGTAGGGAGCGAAGGCTGGCTCCTGTGGTCCGATCCAACAGATGAGCTGCTGGAGGTCAAAAAGAGTCCGTGTGCCTCCACGGGTCAGGGCTGTGTTGGCGGCAAAGGGGAGGCATACATTATGACCAGCAGGGGGTCATAATGTTATGGCTGGTTGGTATGACATTAGTGCCAATTGCAAAAATAAAGATATAAATATGTGTTGATCCGATATAACACAATAACAACACATAAATCAGCCAGCAGCCTGGTCTGTAATCTCACTCCTGAAGTTACACTGATAACTGAAAGATGCTTTTGTTGTAAGTACAAAAGATACTTTTCTGTGGTTATAAGAAATCAGTGACACAAGATATTTCTCACAAACAAAATGTACAAACTTTGAGATGAACAACTTTTGAAACTCTGTGTTTAATATTTGAATTGTCAGAAAATAGTAAAAAACAATCCTTCCACTGTCGAGTCGAGCAGGAGGACATCAGCTCTGAGGTCAACGCTAACATCACTGTGTCGGGTGAAATTCATTGTTATCAAGTAGTTCTGTGTAGGTAATAACCAGTGTGCTGCACATGAGATACAGTTTACATTCTGAGTGTGACTCTAGGTTTTGTTGTGTGTTTCAGAGAAACTGTTTGTGGACACGTGCAGCAGAGGAGTTGTCGCAGGATTGTTTGGTGGAATTTTTTAGGAGCTGTAATTGTTGCTGCTGTTCAAGCTTTTCTTGTAGCTACAAAGTTCATCAAAATAAGTCGTACTAAAGGTGAGTTTATAAAATGGATTGTATCAACATCTGCAGACATCAACATAACTGATACTTAAAAAATCCACTGACACTTTATTTATTGATGATTTAAAAATCAGTATAGTTATAAACACATAACTGTCCATTAAATGGATGTTTCTAGATTTTCCCCAAATGTCCAATTAAGTTTCTTTAAATCTTCTTTAGATCTTTGAACATCATTCACTTATTGTTTTTCCATTTTCTCTCTTTTGAAAGTAAAAGTCTAAATATTCTACTGCTAACATTCTTTGCCCAAATGTGATCCAAATGTGATCTTTTTATGACTGTGTGAACAGTCACATGGAAACTGATCTTTTCCCGTTCGGATTTGGGCCACTTTGATATGTGGTCCAAATCTGATACAGATCGGATCTTTTTAAATGCGAGTCTGGACCATAGACTGTATATAAAAAGGTCTGGACACTCGGTCGGAATTGAATTGATCAAATTTTATTTTTTTATATATTTTATTTATTATTATTTATTTTTAGCAGACACGCACACACTTTTACGTTATTTATTGAATGAAATGAATCTTTTGTATTATATTTTAAGCTTTGCCAATATTGTTGTTTGACGTTCATGCAAATAAAGCTGAATTGAATTGTGAGTTGTGGGGCAGTTGCGTTGTCCAGCACCAGAAACCGAAATGAAAAGAGAAGAAAGTTGTGAACATTTGACATAATTAGGGAGAAAAGTTTCACGTGAGAGGACAATAAAAAACATCTCCTGTGAAAATAAGGAGGATATAAGGAAATAATTCAGCATGAGAACAGGTGTCTATTATATTTATACGGTTTCTTTTTTTGTCTGATTTAACCATGTTTGTTGTTTTTACGTTTGGGAGTCTGCACAGGGTGTTTTATTTAGGACTTCCTTCCGTCAATAATAGACTCTCTGCTGATTCTCTGCGGATTTGTATGTTATAACTGTTGATTTTATGTAATAATATATTTTTCTTTTCTGCAGGTTCTCGTGAGTACAGAAACGGTCATCATTGAGATCCTGCAGAGCTGCTGTCAAGGTGTGTGAGAATCTATAAACTGAATCATGTATATTAGTCTCTCAGATCTAAATAAATTGTAGGTTTTGGACCAACAGAAGACAGCAATGAAAACATGCACACTGTAGCTCCCTTAAAGGGAGAGTAAGTGACTGTAATCCAGTACACCTTTTGTTAAAATCAGCAAATACACTACGTGCACAATTGTTACGTAAGTGAGTATTTCTTTGCATACTTTCCAACTGCAAGCTGTATAAAGTTGAATGGTTATTAGATGTATGAATATCAGGTGATGAGTATTTGTGTAAATATGGAGAGTGTGTCCTAAGGAGATAAACACACTATATCAAGGTGTGCATAATTATTACATAATCATTACTTCAGGTAAAATGGGCCAAAGAAGAGATTTAACTGACAGTGAAAAGTCAGAAATGCTTTTCAGATGGATGGATAATTCTGCTACTGGAGCTGCCTGATATTAGACTGTAGATTACAGTTTTACAATGTCAAGTATGATGATCCAGTCTGAAGAAACCTGCCAATAAACTGCACATGAAGGGGAACTTAACTAACTTTCAAATCTCCTACATCAAATATTCAGTCTTGGAAAAGCTCCCACACTGGCGAGTTCAGACGTTTCTTTAGTGGAAGCAGTTTGTTCCCTCTGCCAGAGTTTAGCCAGTGAACAGTAGTAGCCTCCACCTCTCTGATAAGCATAGCACTTTAAGCTGTTGCTGCACTCATGTAACCTATTTTTTTGTTTTGTTCAACAGAAACACTCATTGATTGATTAACGGACGTTTTAAAGAGTGGTTACAGTGGAATCCGATAATTGCTGCATCCCTACTTTGTTACTTTGTATTTTTCATTGTCTAAAGAATTATGTGTTTTATTCATGTTGTCTTGTTGGTTTTGTTGTTAAGTTTTATTTACATTAAGTGTAACAAACCACTATTTGTTTTCTTTAAGTGAAACGTGTTATGTGCATTTCTTTCCTCAACGCTAGTTTTAAAGAAAGATTGTGTTTTTAATCATATGAAAGAAAGAATACTGGTGCCTTGTTTCAATGACTTGAAGTTTCACTTTCTGGATGTAAGATGTCTGTTTCACTGTAAAGTTCACTGTGTGTGTTTTTTGCACTGGTTCATCACGCCACACTTGTAGATGCATACTGCCCTATGATTGGTCCAAACTAAATGTGAATCAGCATGCTTGTTAGTGAAAAAAGCTCTTACAAATCTGTTTACCTTCATTTCCTGTCTACTTTAAGCTGTTACATAAAAGTGTTAATGTCATACAAACATTCCTAATGGTGTTTTTATTTTGAAGAAAAGAATAACAAAAAGTTGTTATCAGCCTGATTCAACACCTGTTTTTTTTTTGTTTTTTTAGATAATCAAATGTTTAACCTCTTTTAAAATCCTTTGATTTTAAATAAAATACAGTTAATCAAAGGTGTTTTAGACTAAGGAAAAGGTCATTAGTGATGATCCAATCTTGCTTTACCCCATAAATTTAGCAACCGCCAAAGTAACTATTTCCCCCCACACCAATAAAGTCTAAAATCTTTTCCGCTGACATTACATCATAATTTATTAGATGACGATTTATCTGAATCTGCAAAGTAACCAGTACCTAAAGTGGTCAGATAAATACAGTGGAGTAGCTTCATCTATGCACACAGCAGCTCAGATATACCAAGAGCAGATGAGTCTTTTAGTTGAATTCACTTTTATGGATGTGTTGAATGTTGTACAATAAGCATCTACAGTTAAATACCACCGTAGTGCCATAAATACAATAAATGTAGAATTTATTATGTGGATAGTTTTTACATGTGGGCTGTCTCCATCCATCATCAGAGGAGTTGTTGAGAGATGTTTGTTCATTTCGGTCAGTATACACTTTTAGGGAGGGACGTGCACAGGGGGGTTGCTCTGGTTGCCCGGGCAACTGCCCGTTTGCCTTTCCTGACTCAAGTTGCCCTTCCGACTCGCCCTTCCGAGAAAAAAAAATAAAATAAAAAAATAATCGCGATCGCAAAGCCTCATTCACTTCCATTCGGGCACCGAAAGTGAAAGTCAGTAGGGGAAGAGCAAACTCTGTTTAAGTGGCTGCACTGCTGCAGCGCTGCCTGCACGTCAGTCGATTCTGTTCCCTACCGGAATTCCTGTTTCCTTCCTTTATGCAAATCATGCGTAGTTTTGCCCAGTTACCATATGTGATACGTACCAACAGAAGTGAATACTAGCTAGAAGCGCAACTGAATGTACGGGAAGCCAAAAGGTTAAAAAAGGATTGTATTTTTTTCCGAAATCTAAGCGTTTTTTTATTTAATATTTTATTAGAAGCGAGTTTTCCCCATCTGTCAATTCAATCTAGATTATTTATTTTCAAATAAAAAAAAAAATGAAAAAAAAATAAAATAATAATGATTAAAAAAACAATAAACAATAATATAAGGAACTCTTTTTCTCATATGTATTTTGGTGACATTTATATTGTTAATACATTTTGGATACTGTGTTTAGTGCCTTTTTTCAGGTCAGAGCAACTGCCCTTCAAAATTCCTGTGCACGTCCCTGCTTAGGTGTTTAGAATTAAATAGGACATCCACTTTTTCATCTACTGCGATGGACTGGCGACCTGTCCAGGGTGTACCCCGCCTTTCGCCCGATGTCAGCTAGGATTGGCTCCAGCCCCCTCGCGATCCTGTACGCAGGATCAGCGGTTGACGATGGATGGATGGATTTACTAATTTACTTAAGATAGGGACTTTCTATGGTCTCCCGGGTGGCCAGTCGCCGATAGTTGTAACTCACTGACAGCTAATCTGATTTCAGCATTTTGCGGCCGCGGTCCGAGGTGCTGAACGTTTATCTGGACGCAGGTTCGAATCCCAGTCGGGGCGAAGGCTGTAATTCATGATAAAAGATAAACAGCTATTTTTTAATAAAATGATGTAAATTCCACTTCGATGAGCACCTTTCCTTCTGATTAATATGAAATAGTAGCCTACTTGTCAGAGAGGAGAATACTAATGGTTTAAGTATTCAATATTAATTTCAACAGTACTGAGCTGCTGCACTACTTTTTATTTCAAGGAGCATCAGCTCAGTTTAAAAGGTGTACATAATTTTTTGTATAGAGAATTTTTTAAAGCAATGCCCAAAATACAGTTTGTTATATCGGTTTATTATGTAATATTACACAGCAAAAATCATATTTACAATCAAGGATGTTGTGTTAAATTCAAAATTGAATTAAACAATAACTTATTCACCTCAGCTTATGGTCCTCAGGAAGCACAGACTTGTAAATGGCCTTGTTGTAAGTTAGGTATGCTGGCAGAATGTTTGTGAACCGCTTTTGGCAATTTATCCGACCACCGAGGACTTTTAAATAACCAGATCCACGCAGCTAAGGCGTGAAGCAAAGATGTAGTATTGACCAGTGGTGACAACAATCACCTAAGGTCTATCCATACAAAGGATGGCCCTTTCAATTTTAAATGATGACTCTCACCCTCTGCGAAATGAGTTTCAGTTATTACCGTCTGCGAGGAGGTATAAAGTCCCTAGGTGTAGAACGAAAAGACATAAAAGCAGCTTCGTAATAAATGCGATTGATATGCTTAACAAATTGTAGAGGTGTTTTCTCAGATATATACTAGGGGTCTCATGAATTTTTCATGAATTTTTCATAATGATTTTTTATTTTATTTATTTATTTTATCTGTCCTTATGTGTAGTGTGATGTTCTGTGTTGTGTGTTGTTTTTTGTACTGGATGCCATAGAATGTCATTGCACTGTAAAACAAATTTACCTACGGGTATAAATAAAGTAAACAAACAAACAAACAAACAAACATCCACACAGGCGGAGACTTTATCTGGCTTTAGACAACCTGAAGACACTGGAGTAGGGCTGTGCAATACTGACATAAATACTATCTAGATAGTTTCTGGGATGTATATATTTTGGATAATTAGAGAGAGAGAGATATTTGACATCTTTCAAAAATGTGTAAAAGTCATGTGTGAGAGGGGTAGAGGAGGAGACAGAGCGAGTGTTTGGTGTCAGCAGTAAGCCCTCAATTTAGCAGTAAATGTACAGTATAAGTTTCAGTGGCTAATGGATAAAGACAACAGCATCTCAAGACTAAAGTGAAGCTCCTGTGTGTTGCTTGTCAGTGAAAGGGGTTAGCCTAGATGTTAGCATCGACTTCGGCCCTGGAGAACATCAAACTCTCCTCTGTGCTACCCGACAACAGTCCTGAAACCGAACAGGACATTAACTGCTGGTTACTAATGACATTAATGGAAACAGGTCTTATTTATTTACAACTGAAGCATTTCGTGAAAACAATATAAAAGCACTTAAGGCACCAGTGCAAGTATGAGTAAACCTTTTCATCTGTCACCAGTTAAGCTCTGAGTTCTGTTGAAGCTGTTGTCTTAGTGGGTTTGATTCTGTCATCAGTGTAGTTGTGTTTAAACCGGATCTTGTTTTTGTGCCGGTACCTCTGCTGGTTCAGGTCTGTCGTGGACAGCTGACTCCCGGAGCTTTTTATATTCTTGATATTCTGTGCGGTGGTTAGTTTGTGGTCTTTCACAGCAACCGATTGTTGACAGTCAAAGTCGACGTCTAGCTCCATGCAAGTGAGGTCGATCCAAGTCTAGGAATTCAGTCTAACAACTTAACGTTAGACTGCGAGGCTGGTAGCGTCATGAATCTTTCAGCAGCAACATGTTTACTGCATGCATGATGCAGTGACTGATGTGTTTTTTGCAAAGCGAGTGACGTAGCCTACTCGAAAATGTCTACTCACACACCATTAAAACAACAATTAAGATTTATCGTAGAAGATACATGCCCATACATGGGAGAATGTAATTATTTCTCAGTCTCGCCATAATGTCACTCTCTGGTTTACCCCCCGAAAAAGGGATGGGAGCGCAGACACAGTGTCAGTGAGTTCTGGATGTGGAGGCAGATGCTATAATAAAAAGGTCCCTGAGGCTGGAGCTCTGTCCTTACCCTTCTTATATCCTGATGCGGTCTCTGTGCCGGTGGGGCAACAAAAGCAGAAGGCCCAGCTGTGAGGACAAGGATGAAAAACAACAACATTATTAGTGACATGTAGTCATTTTCACACGTTGTATTATTATCACAGATGTTATAATAAATGAAAACATTTTGGCCACAGAAACACATTTAGAGTAGTTTTAAAAACCCATAGTGCTTTTCCATCGCTGGCACCAGCTCATCTCTACTTTGAGTCGCTTTTGGCCCGCCGTCCTCTGTTTTCCATCGCAGGTAGAACCACCTCAGTGTAGCTGGTTCCTTACTGTGTGGTGGCTCAGGGGTATGAGGGGCCGGTCTGGGTGTCAGTGGGGGAACAACAGTAAAAAGGCCCAGCTGAGAGAACAAAGGAAAAGCTAAATTAGCGAGATGTCATAATTTTACAAGACTTAAAGCCACAGCAACATCTTCAGAGTAAAGAAAACATCTTACTGTGTGGTGGCTCAGGTGTATGAGGGGAAGAAGAAGTCTCAGAAGGTGAGAGGGTTCCTGGAAAGATCAATGTATGGTTCAATTAAAACCAAGAAACTCTGTTTACATTTATTTATTAACTTTTTAACACAGCTGTACATCCTTATAGATATGTATAAGACTCTTACAGGCCACAGTGTAGACATTGTTTAGAAGAAAATACAACTGAATATAAAATCTTCCCGTGATACACACCTGGTGCTGAGACCGTCTTCTCCGTTTGCTGGTGACTAGGAGCTCTTTCACCAGAAACTGCAGCTCAGGAGGAAGGGGCTCCTCTCTCTCTACTGTAGGCATGGCGGGCCTACGAAGACAGAATGACAACAAGATAAGAAAAAGCACTCACCAGTATATGTCTGAAGTATAACAGAATTACTACAGAGCATAAGACAATACACTTTATTGATTAACATGAAAGTTTTGCAGATGGAGAAACAAATTACACCGTTTTACCATCTACTAGCGGCTCAAGCAGTTTCCTTCGGGTGTCAGCAGGGGGTCGGTGCAGTGAAGCAGACGGTACTAAAACAGACAACAGTCGCTGTTCACCTGCTAAGTCTTAAAAATTGAATGAGTACTTCATTATAATATAAAAGATAATTGGTAATATAATAGTGATGCACTTCATTCACACATTTTGGTCTGGATGCTCAATTAAAATACTCTTCTTTAGCCTTTATAAGTCTAAGCAGGTGACGCAATATAGATAGATTTTTCTTGCATGAAGACAAAAATGGGTACTTACCCTCGCTACTGAGCAAATCAGTTCATGAACCCTGCTGGTTACCAGGAACATCAGCAAGTGATGATGATGATGATGATGGAGCAGCAGCTGGCAATGCACAAAAAGATTCAATGGTATAACAGATTGGCATTTAATAACACTGTTTGACCAAAATTGTGTTTGAGTGTTCAGTAAGTAAATTTTCCTTGGTGGGTGATGTGCTCTGCATTGCTTTCTCCAGCTCCTCATCACCATCCATCACTGTGACACAGACAGAGAGAATTAGAGTGTTGTAAAAACATGTATTTCTGCTTTGTACTTTGGTTTACAAGCACATGTTCCATGACTGAGTTGTATTTTCTGTATAGCCATGTGCAGAGCTCTGTTACCTCAGATATATACAACCTCATTCAATGCAAGTTTTAATAAAAAAAAGAATCTAACCTAAAATGCTCCTGTGTTGTTTTCAAATTTGAACTGAAAAAACACATAATGTTGATTAAAAGATCATATGTGAATCACAATATTCTTGCAACTCTCCCCTGATGTTACCCAGATGTGCAGCAAAGATAGAAGCACAAATCGATGTCATTCAACAGTAAAAGCTCCGACATTCCCACAGACATGATATCTGCTCATTGTTTATCTAGTCCTTCGTCAAAATGTATAAAAGTCCCTTACCTTTGTTGCATAAAACACAATGTGCGGAGTTGTTGTTGTTGTTGTTGTTGTTCAGCTGGACTTCGCCTCTGTTCTTCTCCAGTCACCGACCGAAAAGACGAGGAGAGACGGAGCTGAAGCGCAACAAAGCGCTGGTGGCCGGAAGGCGCATTATATTACATTCAACAGCCATTACAAAACGAGGAAGTTCGTGGACCACGCGGCATACTGTGCATTTTGTTTTAATTGAAATAACGTTAGATGTAATGTTTAGTATTAGTGTATACTTGCTCAGGGACACGATGGTGGACGGGTCACAGTGGGGAATTGAACCCGGGTCTCTCGCACCAAAGGCAGGCGTACATTTATTTTGAATATCTCAGCTAACAGCAAGTGAAGTTATCTGCACCGTTATCGTTAATTTAAGTTACTTCTCCAACATGTCGACAGTCCAGGAGCTTCTGTTCTTCTGTTTCTGTCTGCTGACTTTGTCTGGAAAAACACCCGGACTTCCAAACGGTAAGAAACATAATGAGCACAAACCTTCACATACGAGGAATTTGCTTTGGTGATGAGGTGCTACACGTAGAACTATATAAATATGGAATGGACAATGCAAGTTATATAATAATAATAATAAAACGGATAGAGAAAAATAATACAACTGTTAGCAGAGAAAGAACAACGTTGCACATATTTACATGTGCATTACTCTGGGTTTGTGTTGTGCAGAAGTAACACAACGGAAGATAATACTGTGTACATAGCTGCAGATGGGAAGAATCTGTTTTTGGGGTGGGAGGAGTCAGCTGCAATCTTTCGTGCTCACCTCAGAGTCCTGGAGGAGTACAGGTCCTGAAGAGAAGGAAGATTGCAGCCAATCACCTTCTCTGCAGAGTGAATGATGCGCTGCAGCCTGCTCTTGTCCCTGGCAGAGGCAGCAACGTGCCAGATGGTGATGGAGGAGGAGAGGATGGACTCAATGATGGCGGTGTAGAAGTGCACCATCATTACATTTATTACATTAATATACAACTTGTTTATATTACAGTACATGTTATTACTACAGTAGTCTTCCACCGTATTATAATGTATTCATTTATATTATAGTATATCATGTAAAATTATAATTTGCAAAGTAAATACAGTTTTTAAGACAAATGTAAGCGTAAAAGCACAAGTATCTTAAAATTGTATATAATGACAGTACTTGAGTAAATGAGTATGTAATACCAGTGCACAACAGTGAAGGTAGCTAATTAGCTTCACCTCTAGATAAAGATTATTTAATTATTAAACCTGACCCTCCACAGACAGCGTCCTCCTGGTTCATTAGATGTTCAGAGTACTTTGGGAGCTGCCCACAGGCTGTTGTTAAAGAGCCATCCAGAGTAGTCCAAGACCTTTTCATATTTGGTTTCATCATCACTACTGCAGAGTTGTGGTGTTAAATGTATTTTGAAATGTCGTCATGATGATCTTCATCATTATGATACAGGACAATGTTTGCATTAAAGTGTACATGCAGATCAGAGACATTAAACTCAAGACTCTCCACTAGTTTCTCCTGATGTGTCTTTAAGGTCGGACTCTGTGGGTCACGATGTAAACGGCACATCAGCCTTTTAAACTGTTGGTGAAACTGTGTTCAGTCAGACTCTAGCACTGCAGTAACGGCAGCACGCTACAGATCACAACATCTCACTCTCACTCTCACTTTAATCCTCATTTACAAGCGGAGAAGAGACGAACAAGAAACATCAGTGTTACATTTATAATCCTGTTATTGTCCTTTTATAGCTGATGTGTCTGTTTACTGTGTTCACAGGAGCATCTCCAGAGCCGTCTGTCAGGACACTTTATCAAACGCAGGACGTGGCCCTGCTGCAGTGTGAAGTTCGAGGTGCTTCTCCTAAACCTACAGTAGAGTGGCAGGACAGTGCTGGAAACAAACTTCCTGCTAAAGAACCACAGGTTTCAGAAAGAGGAGGCAGCTTCTACATCATCCTCCAAACTACTGTGAAGAAGACCGACCGCTATCGCTGTGTAGCCACACAGGAGGAGATCAGACATCAGATTTATGCTGAGACCTACGTGTTTATCTGTGGTGAGATTCTTTAGTGTTCCTTTACAGCAAGTTTTCTTCAACTCGAGTAGTTCACCTGTCACCTGCTCGCTCGCGCACACACTCTCACACTCACACACACAGACAGCCGCCCATCTGCCCCCCAAAGCAGTCAACCTGCAGGTGTAGAGATTTGACAAAATATACGCACTTTGGGGTGAACATGCTTTTGAATTATTTGAATTTAGCTCAACAAAAGCTAAATATTAATCTATAAAATTATATTTTTGTGTAGGGCTGCAACTAACAATAATTTTTTTTTCTTTTTTTTCATTATTCTTTTTAATTTTTGTTTTTAAATGTCAGGAAATAGTGAAAATGCCCAAAGTGATGTCTTCAAATTGCTTTTTTGTCCAACGAAGAGTCCAAAACAAAGTCCAAAAAGATATTCATTGTACAGTGATAAATGGGATTAATAGAGGAACCGTTACTAAAAGTTTTTCTGACTCTTACATACAGTGTACTGGGTATTTTGGGGACAAAAACTACATTTGTAGAGCTCTAACTGTTTGTATTGTTTTCTTATTACTGTGTTCACAGGTGCAGCTGCAGAGCCGTCCATCACGATAGTTGATGTCACAGAGTTTGGGGTCCTGCTGCAGTGTGAAGTTCGAGGTGCTTTTCCTAAACCTACAGTAGAGTGGCAGGACAGTGCTGGAAACAAACTTCCTGCTGAGGAGACACAGGTCTCAGAAAGAGGAGGCAGCTTCAACATCACCCTCCAAACTACTGTGAAGAAGACCGAAAACAACCGCTTCCACTGTGTAGTCCAGCAGGACGACATCGGTCATATGATCAGAAGTAACATCACTGTGCCCGGTGAGATTCATCTTAGTGGTGGTTTTGATGAATGATGAATTTGGCAAAAACAAAAGTGTTGCGTTTATAATGAGGCATGGCCGCCTCAGTAGTAGTTCTGTGTAGGTAATAACCAGCGTGCTGTACATGAGATACAGTTTACATTCTGAGTGTGACTCTAGGTTTTGTTGTGTGTTTCAGAGAAACTGTTTGAGGACACGTGCAGAAGAGGGGACGTAACAGGATGGTTTCTTTGTGGATTCTCTTTAGGAGCTCTACCTGTTGCTGCAGTTCTAGTTTTGCTTGTAGCTACAAAGTTCATCACAGTACGCTGTAATAAAGGTCAGTTTATATAATGGATTGTATCAACATATTCATCATGTGCAGACATCAACATCACAGATACTTGACAGAAACCATCTTGTGTCGAGATGGTCTCGTCCTCTCAGATATACGGTATTAGTTTTTTAAAATTTTATTGCCTTTATTGGACAGGAGCAGCTGAAGAGAGACAGGTAAACGGGGAGAGAAACAGGATGACATTCAGCACAAAGCTGGAGGTGGAATCAAACCCTCACGCTCCACCAGGTGAGCTACCGGACTTATGTTGTAGCCTTTATTTATTTATGAGGCATCTATCTATCTATCTATATAAAAAAACTTTTGTTTAAACAGGAAATGTCCCATTGAGACACAGTCCTGCAAAGCACAAATAAAATACAATTTTTCAACCATGAGCTGAAAAACAATACATTACGTAAATTAAAATACAAGACAGATTTACACACAAAGTTTACAAAATATTTACATGGACAAAAATGCAAAGAGTTTAAAATATATTAAAAAAAACGAAATAAGGACTAAATGTAGAGATCTACCTTCCGTTAATTAAAACAACTGCATATGTCCATCAGAATATCAGATATTCTTTTTTTTTCGCACCAATCTTAAGCTCAGACTGGAGTTCATTCCTGGATGAAGGGCCGTAGTAAGACAGACTCCTCTTTCAAACAAAGTAGTTCGTCAGTAGATCTTAAATATTTGCTTTGCATATGAACAAATTTTAAACAGATATAAGAAGGCAAAAATCCTAAAATAGCTTTATAAATAAAAATGTGCCAGTGTAGCATCCTGCGCAGTTTGAGTGACAGCAATTTACCCTACTGTATAAGATGCAGTGATGTGTCTGATAGCCAGCGTTTGTGATGAACCTGAGAGCCGCATGATAAAGAGGGTCAAGCTTTGTCCAGCCGGATACCCAAGTATTTATAAGTATCAACAAGTTCAATGGCTTCGTCTTGGTTGTGTTAATAGCGAGAGCTGGAACTTTAGTATTAGTAGGTGCAAATATCATCACCTTTGTCTTGTGTGCATTTAAAAGTAGCTTCAAATGAAACGGGGCAGATTGTAATGAGGCAAAGTCTGACTGCAAATTTGCACAGGCAGTCTCGAGTGTAGGGGCACAGCTTCTGGTTCTCATTCTGATTGTTACAAATAAATATAGCGAGTTGTAAAACATAACCGTCCAATAAATGGATGATTCGACATTTTTATTTCCCTAAATGTCAATATTTCGTCTTACAGAGTCTTTAAACAGATCTAAAAGATATTTACCCCATTAATGTCACCGTATTACATTTTTAATCCAAATATTGCACTTATATAAACATTTTATTGTCAGCTGCTTACCATATTTTTACCAATTACTATAATATTGCTATACTAGTAGTTTTGCATTGTTGCTATCATTAAGGGCAGGTTCACACCAAAATGTCCGTTTTCTGAATTGAAAGCAAGTTGACTTTATGTAATATATACTTTTCTTTTCTGCAGGTTCTCCTGAGCAGGGAAACGGTTATCATAAAGATCTTCCAGAGCTGCTGTGAAGGTGTGTGTGAATCTGTAGACTGAGTCACGCATGTTAGTCACAAACAACCAAATACTGTTTTGTTGGACCATTTACATTTACTCATCTGGCAGACGCTTTTATCCGAAGCGACTTACATTTGAGGAACAACATACAAGCGTCAACAGAGCATCAACTACAGATCTACAAGTGACAATACATACAAGTAAGAGCAGCAATAAATACTAGTAGAGCTCATAGTTTATATTAGTATTGGCAAGTTCGAGTCTTTTGACAGACTCGTTCATTCAAATCTCTTTGTTTTTTTGAGTCATTTCGTTCATTTGAACTAGGCTGGTTATTGCGGCGCTGCAGCCCTCTAGTGGGCGATTAAAAAACAGGAAGGCTGCCTGGCTTGCTTTAATTGACAAAGTATAATGCACAAATTCACCTCTTGATTATTGTATATCATCATTATATAAACCCCCCTGGGCCCACAGCCAAATTCAAACCATGTAAAAACCACAGAAATATGCTGTCTATATGTAATCACCACTACTCTGGCTAAATCCGTCCATTGTCACAATCTTTCCCGAGTAGTATACAACCAGACCAGCCACATAAAGGCTGATGTATATAATTACTATCATTATCTCTAAAGTGCTCATTCATACAGCAGCCTAACGTCCCTATCCAGGAGTAAAATATTAATATCAGATTTGCAGTAAATATATTGAAGTAATAAGCTTGATACACTATATGAATAAACACACTCTTATTAAAATTCAACCAATTTAATAATAATCTGGATCGAGCCACCAAGTTCTTAAAGAACTCCAGCACAGAGAGATAATATTAACACATTATATAAATGCAGCAGTTTGGCAGGTCTGGACTCAGAATGGGCCACATCAGGTCCAGATTCTGCAGACAGAGAAACACACATGAGCACGTCGCTCTCAAACACTGCAGGTTGTTCACCAGTCACGAGCTGTGAAACAACAGCTCGGCTCTGTTGATGAATAAAAAGGAAAAGTTACGTTGCGTTCCCTGGCAGACCTGGATCAGCTGTTAGCTGTTTACAGGGCTAACGCTAACGTTGCTACGTGGCTGTGTTTTAATGTTTTAATGACCGGGTCTGTTTGTTTTGGAGAGGAGACGACCTCGGAGGTAATTCGGCTCCAGGTAAACCCTGTCAGGGCTCTGAAGTGGAGCCAGAACAACTCTCATCAGCTGTTAGCTGTAAACACTAGCAAAGTTACAGTAATAACTATAACTTAGCACAACATCACTGCGCTGTAATAACGTTGTGCTTTGTTAAATGTCACATACTTAACAAGAAAGCTATATAATATCAGTCCAGTGACTGTTACCTGACAGCCAACCTGCCTCTCTTTCTCCACAGTAGCTGTCACGTGACAAATGAACGACTCAAACAGACCCACAGTTGAGAGTCGTGAACTAATCAGTTCTGTTTCCTGTGCTGACGGAGCTGCCGTGTGACGAGCGAACGTAAGAGTCCAAGATCCTTCACGCATGCGTGAAAATGAACGAATCACTCACTGAGACGACCCGTTCCTCCCGAGTCATACACACGATTAGGTCTAATGAACGAAACGTTCTTTGAACGACACAACACTAGTTCATATCACATCATTGGAGTAAATACCTAGCGAAGGAAGAGTTAACAAAAAAAGTGCAAAGCAGTACAAGATAATTGTAGGGGATAGAAGAAGAAGAGCACAGGAAGTGCATGTTAGATGTTAGGAGTTAGAGGTGTTATAAGAGGAAGTGTTCTCGGAAGAGATGAGTTTTCAGGAGCTTCTTGAAGTTAGAGCTCTGATGGCGTGTGGTAGCTCGTTCCACCACTGTTGGCAGCATTAGTGACTTGAATCTGATTCTGGAGGCCACGGGGAGCCAGTGGAGGTCACTGAGTGATGGAGTGACATGAGTCCTTTTGGGCTGATCAAAAACCAGATGCGCTGCTGCGTTCTGAACCATTTATAAGGGTTCAGAACGCAGCAGCGGACCAGTAGAAGAAATATTGTCAGCACACTGTGGCTCCCTTAAAGGGATAGAAATGTACTGTAATCCAATACACTTGTAGTTAAATATAGCGAATATTTCCTCAGTTTGCTCCGGTTTTCCTGCACAGCCCAGGCTCTGCAAATGGAAAGCAAAGAAAGTTGTTCCAGCCAAGAGCGAGAGAGAGATCAATTAACCGGTACATTAGACCGCTCTGGACTCCTGGCACTATTAAGAAACAAGCCCGTCTGGCACCAACAACCACGCCACATTAAAAGTCTCTTAAATCCCCTTTTTCCCCGGTTTGAACTTCAGCAAGTTGTCCTGACCCCGTCTACTTGATTTAATGCATTAAGTTGCTGCCATGTGATTGGCTGATTAGCTATTTGTCTTAAAAAGCGGCTGATCCGGTGTTCCTAATAAAGTGGCCGGTGAGTGTAGACTTCTACAATTGAACCTCTTTATGCAGTCAGTGGAGTCGCCACCCTGTTGGCCTTTAAAAGTATTCAGCGCTTCACCCAGAGATTCTCTCATGCGTCTCTCACACTGAGTCAAAACTACTGAATTATCCACTCGATGTTGTTAAAGACATGATGGCATCTAAATGAAATGGACAAAGCTACATACGTATCTCAACACAACAGAGCTTTAAAGGGACCTGGTAAAAGTAGAATGGATCAAATCCAAATATTTATTTCCACAAACTCAGGGGCTAAAACCAAAAAGAACAGGTACCCTAAATAATCAGGTGGCTTGTTAAACCAGCAGATCCCAGATCTGTAATGTAGCCTATATAAAATGTAATGTTTACCTTAACCATGTAGTGCCTTCAAACATTCAAGCCCGCCAGTCCACGCAAAGTCTGGATTTTGGCGGCTGTTTTGTGCGCAAATTTTGTCAGAATATTTGTGTCGGAGGAAAAATCAACAAAAATTCGTTATTTTGTTTTTTGTTTGTTTGTGAAAAGGTTACTGAACTTTACTGAAAATGTTTGCAGGGAAAATCTAATGTTACTTTTTGTATTGGAGTTCACTTGTTTCAGAAAAGTATGTATTTGTAGTGAGAAAACTCAGTGTTCAAATAAGCTACTTAAATGGTCAGTCCTCAATGAATGTATAATTTAATATTTATCATGGTGCCAAGGAGTCAAATACAATGCTGACTGTTATCTTAATCTTGCTGGTGCTGTTTTTGAACAATACAGTGTCATTAGCTTGAATGTATTCAAATTAAATGAAGTTAATTCCACGTATATTATAGTGAATATACAGCTGAACCAGTCTGTCACTTACATGTTAATATGTAATGGTTCTCGCTTTGTTCTAGCAATTGTTTATATTGAATGTGCTCGTTTCTCTTGAACAATAAGCACATTATTCATTATGTAAACAATGTATTTAGTTATAGTTTTATATTTCCATTGTTTCTTAACAAGCCACTGTGTGTATTCTTGAGGTCAAACATGTTGAATTTGAAGATCCCCTATCTCATGTTTTAAGTCACATAAAAGTGACCTTATTAGAATAATAGTTTGTTTCTTATCTGGTTAAAAATGACTGTAAATATGTGTAATTTTAAACGTTTCGTCCAAAACTGCGCTATGATTGGTCCAAACTACACGTGATGTCACACAGCATACTTGTTACTGTACGAAGTTCCCAGTCGGTCCCCAGACCTGGTGAAGTAGCGACGGCTGCTCCAAATGTGTTCACCTTCATTTCCTGTCGTCTACTGAATAAAAGCATTAATGTCACACAGACGTACAGTCCTTTCTTATCCTTCCTGTCAATATTCTGTCTTTTATCTTTTAAAGAAAGATTTTTCTGCGTGGATCTGGTGAATCAATGTAAACGTTACTTCTCTCACTATATTAGAAAACAAATAATTAAAAGGTAACGACCACACTTTATCCCAAGGAACAGTCTGTATCAAAACTGATATGGGAATTTAATACTTTGCCAAAACGTCTGAGTAGCTACACAGTCGAGGAGAGAGGAGTAAGTGGACAGTAGCGAAGTGGAAGTGATGGAAGAGCAACAGCAGGACGACGCAAGGGCTTCCTGTCTTTAATCTCAAGACGCCTGCTGTCGTGTTTCAGACGCATCGAGTGGATAAAACATTCAGGTCGGCCGCTACCTGACCTCCATCCTCTTTCTACATTGGGCGCACTGATTTTGGGTGTTGTCACAGCCAAGTTGTTGCTTTTTGATGTTGTGTTTTGTCATTCTCAGGGTTACACTCACTATAAAGAGTTAAAGGAGGGAGGCTTCCTGAATCTATAGACAGTTTATTACACTGGATTGAAACAGGAAATACAAAACAATATTAATGTAGACAACGCAGGTTATAATATGCAACATTTTTCCTTCCTTCACTTTTGAACAATCATAAAGACGTGTGAATGACAGTGTTGAACAGTTTCTACAGATTCTTCAGAAACTTTTCCAAGGCTGCATAAACATTTGCTGATCGGTCCGTTGTTGTGCCTGCATGGCATTAAACCTTCTACCCTCTGCCTTCTGCTGAGACCTCATCATGTTCTCAGAGAAAGCGTTGGGCTTGATGGGTTCGATCCACATTAAGCATCTGCTCCAGGAATCTTCTTTGTTCTGTCTGACACCAGAGAAGATTTCACTTTCCTCTTCCTGGACTGACTTCCAGGAATGGGCGGTCAGGTGTCACTTTTTGTCTTCTGCCTCCACGTCAGTGGAGTCCAGCGACTCTCCTCTCTCCCGTCCTGTGGTGCAGCATCTTCCCCTGTCAGTAACAGCAAGTAGTTACTGAGTAACGCTCATCAGAGACTGAACATGTTAACAGTGGTGGTAGGAGTAGGCTGTAGCTGTTCTCCGAAGCTGACCGGGAGGCCACTGCTGCCAGTGATGCATGCGTTTATCAGGAGAGTGGCATTAAGTAACGTTTAATATTGTTCTGTAAAAACACTGAATACTGCTTTTATTAGTGCATGTGCACAAAAACAGTAGTTCAACAGTCGTGAAAGCATTGCTTTGTTTTTTATTTCAGCCAAAACCATAGGCCTACTTCTTGCTGCTGATATGAATATGCTGTTAGTTGAACCGTCGGGAGAGATATTTATGTAGTTAAATACTGTATACTCAGAGCCCTGTGGCAGCATCATCTGGTCTGAGAGGCTGCATGTTGACAGCTCAGGTTACTTATTGTAGTAACGAGTAACCTTAACATAACTTGTTACTTTTAATACCCAGTAATAAGTAAGTAATATTATCCCTTTTAAGTAACAAGTAACTTATTTAAATTTCTGAGTAACTTGCCCAACACGGTTGTTTTATAGTAGCCTTGTAATGGTAGGCAGATGTTGTTTTTAACA